GCAGCCTAAAATTGTCATTTTTTTCATGTTTTGACAAAGAGGGCCCCCAGCCCAGGAGAAATGTGCCAAAGACACAAAATCTGTTCCACTTCAACAGAGTCTTGCAATGACGATCTTAAGACTGTCCTTGCAGCTGTACCTCAGGAGGTACAGGGTTCTGTATCATCCAGGGGGAAAGTAGGAAATCCCTATGCTGTAAGCAGGGTCTTGCACTCAGAAAGTTGATCGGCAATGGCAGGTATTTCAACATGTACAAGCTCAGCTGCTGCAGCATGTCTTTCTGCATGCAGTGGCTCCACGCAGTCGTCTTTGGAAGTGCTCGGAGCAACACAGCCAGGATCACATGGAAGCCCCCCTTTGCAGTGAGCAGCTGCCTAGCTTTGCTTCTGTAACAGACTCTGTTCCTGTGAGGTGACTGCTAGAAGCAGGCAGATTGCCATGAAAGCCACAAACTGTTTGGGGTAGAGAAAGCCCAAATTCTCCTGGGTAGGGTTGCCAGGAGTGATCATTGCAGCAGTGGGGGAATTTGGGGGGCGGTCCAGGAGTGGGCGGCAACGTCCCCAATGCAATGATGTCATGCAGAAGTGATGTCATCATGTCAGCGATGCTCTGCTTTTTGAGCAAGCTCTATGGTTAAAATTGGGCTCAAACCAGAGTTCTGCCCAAAAAGCAGAGTGTCACCATGCGACATCGCCGACACAATGATGTCACTTCCGCATGACATCATCACATTGAGGACGTTGTTGTGCAATGTCTCTGTTCGGGGACAGGGCTTCTGTACTGTCCAGCTGGACAGCAGCAGGCAAAAGCCCCCCAAATTGGGGGATCCCTAGCCTGAACCAGGGGTCTGGGAACCCTAGCTTCTGGTCACAAGCGGAAGGACTGATGGCTAACTCCACTCACAGGAGGCTTGGGGTACCTTGAACTGGTAGCGCTGCAATCATCAGCTGCCAAGAAGAATGGCAGAGAACAACTCAAGAGCATAAAGGAAGGAAAGGAAAATCGAATGCAGCCTCTGTATGTACACGGCGAGAGCAAGAAGACAGAGAACACACATCCCCTCTGGCTTTCAGAACGAAAGCCAAAGAAAAGGTTTACCAAGAAGGCTAAGAAAATGAAACTGAGGAGCTCGCACAACTGAAAGTGATGTAAGTTCTCAATTAACACAGGGCTGCATTACTAGACAAAAGACACCAACGAACACGCAACAGGGCTCTGCGTCGAAAGCACACCCACAAAGGAAAAGTGAATATTTATCTACAACCTTTTGGTTTAAACCACTAACATCAATGATGTAACAGAAAACTTAATGCACCTTTGGCTTGTACTTTAGAACTGAATCATTAAATGCCTTCTTTGTTCACTGCATCAGGAAACAATATTTTGTCAGTATTTAAAAAAAACACACAACTCGGCATCTTTGTCAGCATCTTTCTCCTGCTCGTAAATTCTGAAAAGTTTGCCCATGGGGCCATGGTGGCCCAGGAGGATCTCCTGATCTTCTCCTTCCGATGGTTTGCCCTGCGTATGCTGCACCCAGCAACTGTAAGAATGAGCCACAGACAGCAACACCTAGCCTGGAAAGTAAAAACGAGACTGCTCCAGGAAATTCTGCAGAAGTTAATCTGCCATGTTAAAAACAGACTGCAGTTCACCTGCCACAGTACTACTTTATACAAAATCCTTCTCGGGTGACCTGTGAGAGGAAAGCACTGGCTTGAAGCGGGATTCAAGCAAAACAAAACCAAAAAACAAGAACCGAGCGACGACAAAGGGTCATTCACTGGCAACTCGCTCCAGAGTCCAGATTTTGTTACGTATCAGCGGAGATCCCAGCAGGACTGTTGAGCAATATCAGGAGAGAATCAACTGGGCATGAGCCGAAGGGAAAATTCCACACGTCCCCCCCACCCCGTCAACATCATCTGGAAGCACAACAGGAGATGACAGTGAAGCAGGCAAAAGTGACTAAAAAACGGAAGGGCCTGCTTAGGAGACAGCACTTTACCTGGGACGGCCGTTGGTACAGTCCTCGCCTCCCTTTTCTTTCCACCAGACCTTCTCCCTGCAACAGGTCGATTAATCCTCTCCCGCTGAGTGTTCTGTATTTGCCGTTTTCCAGACCCAATTTCCCTTCCCCTCTCCTCTGGCAACCAGGTTCCCTTCTTTTCATAGCCACATGCCAAAAGATGCCACGGAGCACACACATACGCACACACACACTTACTTTACTTGGCTGTCCTTCCTGTGAGAGTCGGGCGGGGGAACCCCCAGCTTTGCGTCCAGGGATCTGGCCCGTCAGCTGCTGGTGCAAGACTTGGAGCTCACAGCTTCTTTCTATTAAAGCCTGTGCCATCTTCTCAGAAGATGACTAACAGGGCAGTAAGGAAAGCAATGGGGAAGTCAGAAAGCTACTAAGTACCAAGATAGAGAGAAAGCGTCAACCTATAAGAACTGACTTGGGGGACCATGAAAGTATCCATCCGCTCCAACAGCCAGATGCCTCAGAAAGCTCTTAAGCTGGCAAGAAGGCTTCGGCCACCATCTGTTATTTTTGTCAGCAGCATCTGGCACTGCAAGGCATCCTCTTCTCCACAGTATCTCACTAACAGGCCCTTTCCTTAGAACTCTTTTAATCCATCTGAACCACTGGTTCGACACATCTGCAGATGCACTGAAAGAGTTCTAACAGGAAAACAAGGGCAAGATGCTCTGTTTATATACTTAAGGTTTCCACCAGAATGTTGTCATTTGCTTAACGCTATTCTTAGCATGACAAGGCTAATAATAAACAACAAAGTTAGCTTCGTCTCCCCTGCCCATAAAATGACATCTCACAGCAGCTGGACATGAGGCCTGGCTCTTGAGAGGGACCTTAACACTCCCTTCCCGAGACCCCACACTCCACCTCACTTACACAACTCTGCTGCTGTTTGGCGCTCATGGCTTGGAGCAAGCTCTGGATCTCGGCCTTCTGCTCTTCGGCCTGCCGGTTCTTGTCATTCAGGAGCTCCTGGATGACCCGCTCCTTCTGCTGAAGGCGGAAACAGAGTTCTTCTACGATATCTCTCTGCCCGGGCCCCAGCTTGCATTGCAGAGCTGCTGAGAGTGCCTAGGATGAAGGAGAAGAAGAAGAAGAGATTGG